AATATGTGTGTGTGTGTGTGTGTGTGTGTGTGTGTGAGAGAGAGAGAGAGAGAGAGAGAGAGAGAGAGAGAGAGAGAGAGAGAGATGGTGATTTCTGGTTAGTGGGATTGTGACTGATTTTAACTTTCATCTTTTAATTTTATTAGATACAGATTAGATTACACATTTACCTAAGAGGTATGAGAAGGAGGAAAGAAAAATCCCCTCCTAGGAAAGTAAACAACAACTCCTACCATCTCTGTGAACCGGTCTGCACAGGCCATCCGGACCCACTCAGGTGTTGCTGGGCTCTTCACTGTGAAGTCTTCGGCTAGGTCTCTCTCTCTGCGTGCGGCGGCCACAGCATCAGTGATGGCAAAGAATACAGATGACCCCAGGAACATTCCGGACTCCCCCAGGCCCTGCAAGAGAGCACATTTGTTTTAGAAGCTTCTAGAAGTCAGGGGGGATTATGGGGAAATAGAGATACCCATGTCCTGTCTAAAGGAGGCCGCTGTTCTTCGGTTCTAGCTAACTGCTGCCTTCCAGAAATGCAGCCCAAACGATCAGATCATCCCATTTTTCAAGATAATTTCGATATTTGTATTTTCATGTAAAATTCCCCGACTTGCCCAGCCAGCGTGGCTCAGTGGTTGAGTGTCGACCTATGAACTGGGAGGTCACGGTTAGATTCTCGGTCAGAGCACATGCCTGAGTTGCAAGCTCAATGCCCTGTGTAGGGTGTGCAGGAGGCAGCCAATATCATTGATGTTTCTATCTCTCTCTCCCTCTCTGAAATCAACAAAAATACATTAAAAATAAATAAATAAAAATTCATGACTTTAAAAAGCACCATGTAGGACAAGGAAAACACATCTGCAGGTTAGATTTGGCCAATGGCCCCGTTTGCAACCCCTGAGCTAGAGAAACTGAATCTGAGTCCCTTTCCCTTTATCAGTGAGATGCAGGCAATGACACGTACCTTTCAGGGTGTGGTGACATTCAGGTAGCACAAAAGCACAGCACCTGGTACCTGGTAGGTCCCTGCTGTTAGTACACTTCCCGGCACACGCGCAAACCCATCACTGCCTTGCAGGTCTGCCTGTGCGGGGCTGGCCACAACCACAGGAACCAAGGGTCCTGCTTGCCCTGAGAGCTGCTCTCTGTGGACTCTGAGCATCCTTTTGCCTTTCCCCCTCAGAGTGATTTCCAGCCCAAAGAGAATCCAAAGGCCTGTTGATTGGCCTTCCTTTCAAAATTGCCCCTCCTCCGTAAACCCCCCCCCCCATCACCCTATGTCCCCAGAAAGCTCCTGGGTGGCAAGAGGGCTCCATTTTGGAAATGATGCAATTCCAGCAGATGGATATGGACTCCTGTACTTATTGATTTTGGTACTACTTTGCCACCTCTCATGAGAAGTCTCCCAAAAGAGTTTAAAGACATTTTTAATACTGCATCTCAAACCTAAAGGGAGTTTCAACTACGAGGGTGGCTCTCCTGGAACCTGCACACAGCAATGCACACACACGCTGACCTTTATTTTAATTTGCAATTTCACAAAGTTAGCAGTTGCTGAGGGTTGGTGTCTTTGCTTCCTGACACAGCTGACATCGGGACCCGATGATTCGTTGCCGTGGACGGCTGTCTTGTGCACTGAAGGCTGTTTAGCAGCATCCCTGGCCTCTACCCACTAGAAGCAGCATTTCCTCCATGGTTGTGACAACCAGAAACGTCTCCAGGCACTGCCAAATGTTCCCTGAGGGGCGACCCCCCTTCCTGTCCCATTGAGAAATGTTGCTTTAGATTATTTCTGGGGAGGAATGAGGCCCCTGAGCCCCTCGGAACTGAGTGAGTGACTTGCCTAATATCACAGAGTTCAGCTCGGGCAGGAACGCAGGTTTCCTGAGGCCTGGTCCAGGGTTCTGTTCACGCTGCCGCTGGTTTTTAAGGTTTCAGTAGCATTGAAATCTTATTCCCATTCCCATTTAATATTTTAGTCTTCAGGTTCTTAAGTGAAAATGTTATTCTATCCAATCAAAGCTTTGGCTGAACATTAGAGTTCTCACTGAAAGAGGATTTAATAAATCGAATCCTTGGCCAGGATGGCCACCGGGTGGATCATTCGTCTTCCCCGAATTTCCCTTTGCTCGAGGTGATTCATCTCCAAATTCTAACAGTCTGTCTTGATTTGGTCTTGATGAGGGTTGACATCTATTTTTTATTTTGTCCACCTGCTTTCGTTTATTATGCTGCCTGACCCAGCACAGTGCACAGTGGCTGGTGGGGGTGCTTACCTTGGAGGAATAGATGGTTAGTGGGGTTTGGGATGCCGGCAACAAGGAGACATTGAACTCCTCTGGGACGTCCGTGATGGTTGGAATTTTGTAGTCATCTGGGCCTCGCGAGTACAGGACACCTTCCGGGGAATATTTCAGCTCTTCAGTGGTGTAAAGGCCCATGCCCTGGATAAACGCACCTTCGACCTGAAGCGGGGAAATGCCGAGCTCTGTGAGGCTGTGCGCTTTTCAGAAGGCCTTTACCTACCCAGGAAGCAGCACCCAGCTAAGTGGGCCAGGACCTACCTGCCCGATATCAATGGCTGGGTTCAGGCTGCAACACGCATCCATGACAATGTCTGTTCTGATTTTCTGCCAAAAATGAAAATGACCTCAGTGTGAAAACCTGAATTAAAAATAGTACTTAAAGATTTATTCACTTGGTCCCAAATGATTCCCAAACTCCTGCTAGTTAATTAAGACGGCATTGAACTCCATCAACATTAGAGGGGGTAAGACATCTGCTAACTCTTTAGATTTAGTGCGGAGACTACCAATGGCCCCAGAAGGTCTTTTGCATTCATGGCTTTGACTCAATGAGACGGCAAACACAAAGTTATTGTCACAGCCCTCCCCTTCTCTGCCAACCCCAATCTATTTCTTTAGAGGCAGGAGCACCTTGGGATAACCCACTCTGAAGAAACAGTATCACATTGCTGTGTGCTTTCAAAATGCTTACTCAGGACGATTTGCTAAATTACCTATTCCTCCAGATGAGATAACTTGATCTTTCTTTAGAAACAGAACGCCCCCCCCTTTGTTTTCCACACAACTTTGGAAAGTGATTTTGATGTCTGAATTAGAATAAGAAACAATGCATTTTAGGCTGTCATGAGCAATGCCTCCTGACTACTTCTTTCTAAGTGCAAATTCATGATAAAGCTGGATCTCTAGACGTTCCCACGGGATTGAAAGGATCTTCTTCCTACTGTATACAGGTGTTACACAGAGAACTCAGGGCTGTTCATGTGCAACGCAATTTTGCTCTTGTGTTAACTCACCAAGAAGAAAGTTTTATTACCTTGTGGGCTCCTGTCAGGCAGTCGATTTCCACCTCAGAGCAGGCTGCTCCGTAGACATAGTAAGGAAACGGGTCTCCCTCCCCCTTCTCCCAGTCCATGAAGGCCTTGTAGCCCCTGATGGGAGAAATAAAGCCCTTTAGCTTGGGGTGTGCATGTGTGTGCATCCATGTGTGTGTGTCTGTGTGCATGTGTTTGTGTGCAAGCAATGTTGATTCATTTAAAAAGTTACTAAAGTTATGATAGCATTTAATTTGACTGCTGTTTATTTCAACTGCCCTTTTCCACTCATTTAAACTGCAGCCTGTATTCACAACCTCGCTGGTTGTGGCAACACGAATCTTCGCCTCCACTTTAAAGAGGATGCTCCGTGCTGCAGTCAGGAGGTCAGAAACGGAGAGAAGCCAACGGACCATTTCGGTTTGGCTCTCCAGGTCTGTATTTTGATGGCTTAGGCTTGTGGTTTAGCTCTGCACGTTGAGAACTTCAGCTGATTTTACCGGCATTCCCAAAGGGCCGCCGTAGCCGGTAAAAAGAGGGCCAGCATTTCAATGCATTAACTTATAATGGAAAAGTACCCAGCTGGAGGCTGATTCGCTCTCTTCTTGGTAACTGAACGCAGGAATTTAGAATTCACAGTGTACAGGGCATGGCTATTCCCTCCTTTTTTCTTTCTTAATGAGATCTCTCTCTCTCTCTCTCTCTCTCTCTCTCTCTCTCTCTCTCTCTTTCTCGTTTGGTGGTTTGCTTCATTAGATTGTTACACTAATGTCATTCACTTCCAGAATTTGACAATCAGCTCTCCTCTCTGTGCTTCCTTCAATCAACCCGCCTTTTCCGAGGGCCTCCACTGAGGGGTCCTGCACCAGTGATGACTGGTGACCTCTCGTCCATCTCCCCCGTCTACCAAGGGGCTTCCACACAGAGAGATCTTATGGTATCGGGAGGAAGATTTGTAAACTTGATATGCAAGTTACTTCTTTTTACAATTCACACTAAAGAATATTATTATTCTGTCTTTTCCACAATAAAGAAAAGTAAATAATGATTAGATGTTATAAGTCATGTTTAACTTTTTTAAAAATCTAATAGGGGTATTTTTGTTATTTAATATTTTTTTGGACATAGCTCAAAGGCCTATGAGGGCCCAGGAGGGACCTCAGAGATCACACGATGAAAACTTGTTTTACAAACGAGGGATGGAGGCCCCGAGTGCGTGGTTGCCTCCCATTTTCTTGGCTAAGTCCAGATGTTGCTGTTGCCATTTTTACCTGAAGTATCCTGTGGCCGAGAGACTGATTCTTTGTTCAAAAGCAGCTTCTATCTGCAGGATGAGCATAATTAGTTAAAATAAAATAAATATACCATCTAATAGGTGAAAATAAAAACATTCAAAATAAAACTATGTGTCAAAATTGACATATGATCATTGTTGGTGCTTTGTTACCAATAAAAGGACTAACTCGTCATAATTTATATTTTTTCCTCTCAGCTGGTACACTAACAATTTCCTTCTGATTTGAGTTCAGAGGTCTGAATTAAAGAATAAAATGGAATCCTGCTGCCCATCCATGATGTACAGGCTTAGTTTACAAGGTATTAGTGCTTCATATCTAAATGTCAGCACTCTAGTAGTATAGGTGCAAATGTGGGATAATGAGATAATTGTGCTAAAGAAATAGTATATAGGGTATTGTAAAGTTGGATTAAACAAATCATTTCCCTTGAGACTTATTCAATAACAATACTCCACACCGTGTGTGTGTGTGTGTGTCTGAGGAAGGCTCAGTCTGGGTCAGGCCTTCTGGGTACTCTTCATACACTTCCATTCCTCTTCTCAGGGATGCTGTTCCCCGGGCACTCTCTCCATACCTGGTAAACATCATGGAACAGCTGTCTCTGCCTTTGGAGCTCTTGCCCTTGGGTATAAACCAACTCTCGGAAGAACTGTCGCTACGAGCTCCAGCTGTGCGCTGCCATGGTGCTCTGGGCACTGGTGTGGGTTTCCTCATTTGTAGTAATGGAGTGGAACACTTACCCAGTCTTCCCAGGAACCTTCTGGATTTTTCTTAATGATGGGCTCAAGGCGTTTCAGAAGGATCTGACAAGCGTTCTTGGAGGAGTAAAGAAGGGCATTCCCATTAGAGAAGAGCCCAGGGATCAGGACTTGCGTGGAAGAAGATGAATGGATAACTGATTAGGTCAGTGAATACTATGGAGTGCCTGATACGGGCACATTGGGGACACAGAGCCCCTGACTTTGAGTGGAGCGTCCGTTACTGGAGGGCCTTTCCCTTCCTGCTTCACTTCCTGTGAGAACACAGGCTCAGCTGAACTTCTCCTCTCAGGTCCCCTTTCTAAATATATTCATGTGCTTAATTCCTTCTTCTCTTTTTCTACATTTTTGACTTGTACCTTCTTTTGTATCTTCTAGCCATTAAAATAAACGAAACAAAACATCTTATTTTCATTCAAATTTGTGCTTTCCAATCTCCAACAATGACATGCCAATATCCGTCTGGGTCTGAAACATTATTCAACTCTCTGTCCATCCCTCTGCCTGTTCACCCATCCACATCAAAGTACTGCAATGGCGGCCTTTGCTTTGGGTGTGAAGTGAAAAAATAATTGAGTTTGTTTTTTATAATAACCTGATCTACAAAGTTTCTGATACTCAGAACTGAAACCTAAAACTCAGTGTCCTAGAACAGTGATTTTCACCCTATTTTATCTCCTGGCACACATACACTAATTACTAAAATTTTGCAGTACACCTCCAATTTTTTTTTCTGCAATGACAAAAACAATAGGTATAATTTTGATTCACTCACACCAGATGGTTATTGTTGTGTTGTCATTTTTTTAACTTGACAAGCTAAGGGAAAAGAGGTCAGTGTCTCTAAATAGTCAAGTGTTTCATGTTTTTAGAAATCTTGCGGCCCAGCGGTTGAAAATCACTGTCCTAGATGAATTAACACATAGTTTGGGCTGATAACTTCCATACACATTGAGCTATTCCTAGTTTGTGTTTGATTCTACCCAAAATTGGATATCATGAGTTTGAGGTTTCCCACACATTTGTTCTGAGTAAAAATCTCTGGTTTTTGAGCCCCTCTAAGGGTGTCCTCACAGAGATAAAATGGATTGAAAAGTGGTTCATCTTGGTAGCTTAAGTGCAGTGTCCTGGCACTGAGGGAATATGTCTTCCCACAACATTCCAATAGAAAAAGGGGACAGTTTATAACAGAAACATGACAGAAGGACAGGCAACCAGATATTTGAATGAAGGCGTGTGAAGTCATGGTTCTATTCAGAAAAAGCAAAAATTAAACACCCGTTAGAAAACAAGTACAAACAAAAAGGATGAGTACTCTGGTTAGGACTCTACTGATGTAGACACTTTAATTGTACCCTGTCTACCTGGCTGGAGTCCTGTCTGCCTCCCTGCCTACAAGACCTTATTGGTGCCAGGGGAAACGTGCACAGCTCCGCACGACTTGGTTCCCAGATTTCTTCTTTCTGTCTCTTCGAGGGACAGAGACTGCCTCTGCACCAGAACCCAGGCTCCCCTTCTTCCATAGTTGCTGGGCATGTGGTTTCCCACTGCTCTACCTTCTCCCACCTCCTCTGCAGTGAGCTGTGGCCTGAGACCGGTAATGGATGGCGAGTGGAAGTGACTTGCAGGGCTGCCAGATCTGGCCTCCATGCTCTCCCTCCCTGGCTCATTGGCTGATGACGCTCAGGGCAGCCTTGAAAGTCACATGTTGGAGATGGAGGAATTGCCATCAATCTGGGTGCTTGAATGAGTGAACACACCCACTGACTCTTCAGTGTACAAGAAAAGGACGTAGTTATGTTTCAGCCATTATGTTCTGGGTCTATCTGTCACCTCCATTTAGCCTACTCCAGCTAACACACTATCTGACACTTTGGTTATCCTGAGCCTGAGTTTAGTGACACAAATGGCTTCTCTGAAGCCAGCCACTTGTGCCTGTATCCAGCTAAGAAAACCGGAGATGTGGTACAAGTACCCAAGGAAAGACAGACAGTCAGTCAGACAGACAGACAGACAGCAGCAAGCACCTGCACGGCTCTTCCATTGACATCTGAACCGATGGAGGCAGCTGTAGCAATTGTATTAGGCACCGTAGCTGTACTTGTCTCACAGATGTGCATGTAAGACATGGGTATTTTTAATTCACGGCTGGCCACCTATGAGAAAAAGACATATTTTCAAGTTCAGCAAGGAGTTCTATGAAGATTTGAGTCATCATTTTTCTTAATGAAAATGACTATTTTTAATATGTTTATGATATCCTTTAAAGCATAAATCTCATGACATGTGGCTACAGGGCTGGACAGTGACAGGACAGGCAACTGCTGGGCTGGACAATATCATGACAGGTAGCCACTGGCCAGGCATTATCTCAAGAGGCAGCCAGTATCTCGAGAGGCAGCAATGGGGGGCTGAACTACGTTGTGATTGCCCGTCTTGATGTACCTGATAGGTAATAATAATAAGGGAGAGAATACAATATGGTTTCGAATGGGAGGATTTAAAGGAGCCTCCAGACCACACTCAGGTCAGTGAGTGTCAACTGACCAACCACTAACTGGGAACAAGACTTAGAAATTGCAGCTCTTCCTTGGAACCCTGTCAGGGCCTCACTGTTCATGGCCTTCACCCACATCTTGCCTCACTTCTTCTCCCTTCCCTTGATGACAAAAAAATGCCTGAATTCTGGGCTCTCTTAAGATGAATTTGCAGAAGAAGAAAGAAAAAAGGAAAAGAAAAAAAGAGACAGATTTGCAGAAGCTGTAAGGCACCCCCATCTTCTTGAGCGGGGCCTTCTCGATCAATACACATTTCTTTACTTAAAACTCTGATGTTCTGACTATTGACTTTTTCTTTTGAAACATCCTGGCACATGCACCTTGTACCAGTAACAGGAAGGGGATGGGGCTGAAAGCCACCAGAATTGAGGAGTCCTTCAGAACTACACGGAATGTGGGAGGTGTATTCCAAAGTAGCTAAGGGGATGGATAGTCAAAAGCTGCAGATATGCACTACAACAATCTAATGCATTTGTCATAAAGTTAAATTTATTTAAAGAATTATTTTTTTCTCCTGGGGTCACATCTTCCTATTTTGTATGTAGGTATGTGTGTGTTAAAGTATTCTTTAAAAATGATAGGAGAGCCGAAACCGGTTTGGCTCAGTGGATGGAGCGTCGGCCTGCGGACTGAAGGGTCCCAGGTTCGATTCCGGTCAAGGGCATGTACCTGGGTTGCGGGCACATCCCCAGTGGGAGATGTGCAGGAGGTAGCTGATCGATGTTTCTCTCCCATCGATGTTTCTAACTATCTATCTCTCTCCCTTCCTCTCTGTGAAAAATCAATAAAATATATTTTTAAAAAATGATAGGAGAATGACATGGATGAAATAGTCATCCTTACTTGTCAAAATAATACCCTAATATTGTCCAAACTTTAAAACTTATGCATGCTGGTCTCAAATAAGAAAAGCAAGAAACTCCTACTCTACGAAGCCTGCATGGCACACCCAGCGCAACGCTCCAGGGGCTCACGCCTCCATCCATGAGCCCTGACCAAGCTTCAGGAGTTTTTGCACGTGTGTGTGTGTGTGTGTGTGCATGTGTGTGTGATTTCCACCACCTCAGCCATTTTATTTGATATGTAAGAAGTTTTTCAACTAAATAGTCAAGATCTTAGGGTTTGAGTTCAGGGAGTTGTTCCTTACCCTAAAATTAGTGCCAAATGTCAGTCATATCAACAATGAGTGAGATCAATGACTTCATTTTATTGATCTTACCTGTAGCATTTTGGTGTGAATACCTTGTCCCAGTTCGTTGCCTCCGTGTGTGACCAATACAGACCCGTCTGTGTAGATATGAACCAGTGCAGCTGCCTAGAAAAACAACCCAAAGACACAGCTCAGGGCCAGTTTAGTGAGGTTCAATAGAAGAAACGGGGAAGAGAAATGCCAGTCTCGCAGAGTGGGGAGGGTCAGAGGCAAGCTCTCCTGGTGGGGTTCTGAGGCTTAGTTCTGTTTTGTGCAAAAGTCACCTGGAAAGACAGTCTTAGTTAGGAACCTGGTTTTAGTAGGAGCCCCTTGGGATACTCAGGAGTTGTGGGCATTGGTTGCTACTGTTTGAAAGTCACTCTCCTGCTTAAAATCTCTGGCAAACCACTCAACTGGTGAATTAAACATTTGTAAGTACACCCACATGTTATGTGCTTGCTCTAGATATATAACCATGAATAAGATGTGCTTCTTCCTCAGGTAGCTCAGTGCAGTGGGAGGTAGGCTGGAAAGCAGGTCATTAGAATGCAGAATGAGTTGTGAGATAAATGGTGTGCCTTGGGGCCCCGGAGACCTGGGAGGACAGACCCAGCTGCTTCTGCAGAGCCAGGGAAGGGTTCCCCAAGGTGACACTGAATGGAATCATGAAAGGGAGAACAGTTTGCCCCTTGGGCAAGGTGGGCAAAAACTCCCCATTGTCTGCAAGGGAGAGCCCTGCACCTGCTCCTTGTTATTATATGAGGCCCTTTGGGATTCGGTCTCTGATGCTTTTCCCACTTCTTCCCTGTCTTTTCCTACCTTTCCTCTAAGCCTGGCATTACCCCTGTTCCTGCCTGACCTACACTGTTCTCTCCCTGGCTTGCTCCCCAGCCTTCAACACCCTCCACCCCTGTGGTCTCTATTCTGTTAGAACTTCTGTGAACACTCCTCTTTCCTCTCCAGGAAGGATCCGTTACCCCCTTCTCTGCACCTACTCTTTCAGGGGTGTATTGAGTTGAGTAGCGTCCCCTGTAAGGGGGCACCAGAAAGCAACCTTATTTGTAAGTAGTCTTTGCAGATGCAATTAGTTGACATGAGGCACGGCAGACTTCTTCCCCGGGGCCTCGAAGGAGCATGGCTCTGCCAACATCTGGATTTTTAACATCTAGCCTCCAGAACCGTGAGAGAATGCGTGTGTTGTTTGAAGCCACGCAGTTTGCAGTACTTTGTTATTGAGGCCACAGGAAATGAATACCGGGGTGGCAGGGAGTCTCAGCGAGGAGGGGCACCTAGTCTTTTTCATCTTTGTGTCCTGAAGGGAACTCTGAGTAGATCTGAGTCACAGAGACACTAAAAAAGTGTTTGTTAAACTGGATGGATGGCGATGTGGTATTTTTCCTTTGAGGAGAAGAGGGAGCGGGAGGGGGAGGGGGAGGAGGAGGAGGAAGTAGGACTTCTGTCTATTCTGTCTGGAGATGTCTGGGCCCCTCATGGCTTGGAGGGATTCCAGGCACCGAGGCTTGTAGGTTCTAATAATAGTATTTCTTCAGCGTGGCCTCCTGACCCCCTGCGAGGACATGCTACTCCTGCCTGGTTTAGGGAGTAGGTGTCCAGCTTTCTGAGTCATTAGCTGGCCTGGAATAACACACTCAGCTCCTATCCTGGTGTGCCCTGAGCACATCAATCTGGAACTCTGTGGGGAAGCTGGAGGTCTTGCAAAGAGACACTTTGCTGGATTTAAAGCATTTCTTTTGTGGTGAGATGAGAAGTTGGCAGAAATTAGGCTGTGGTGTAGGTGAGGGGCAGCCATAAAGGTGAGGGGAGCTGTGGTATAATACAAACAAATATGTGGTCGTTGCCCCTGGTTTTTGACAGTTCCTAAAACCCATGGAATTTACTGTGCTTTGTCTGCTAATGAGATGACTCTTGGGGGGCAACCTATCTAGCTGGGGCTGGGGAGGCAGGATGGTTGCCAGAGAAACCAACCCCTGGGAGAGTCACATCTCTCAGCCCCACGCCCTGACCTCCAGGGAGGTGTGAGACTAGAGATGGATTTCAATCCCCGATGGCCGATGATTTACTCAAGTGTATCCAGGTAATGAGATTTCTGGGAGCTTCCTGGTCGGAGAACACATCCACGAACAGGTGGGCCCCATGGTGGAGGGAGAGGACCTGACAGCCTCACGCCTCCTCTCCCATGCATCTCTTCCATTTGTCTGTTTTTGGGTTGTATCACTTAGAATAAATTCGCAGTAATCATAAGCAAAGTGCTTTCCTGAGTCCTGTGAGTTGATCTAGTGAATTATCAAACCTGAGGGGGTGGGTAGAGGAAACCCCCAAATTTGTAGTTGGCTGGGCGGAAGTGCCGGTAGCCTGAGCACCCCATTGTGCTGGTGTCTGAAATCGGGGCGGTCGTGTGGGACTCGGCCTTTGACCTATGCACTAAGTCTGGGTAGTTAGTGTCAGAATGGAAATGGATTGTTGGACACCCAGCTGATGTTGGAGAATTGGTGTAGAAAAGACACATTTGGCATCACATGTGATATCCAGGATCTCTTATGCCTTAGCTGTTGATTCAGTCAGGCTTGCAGACAATTAACCTTCATGCACCTCTGTATAGAATGGGCACATCAGATCTGAACAGGACTGTGACCAGGAGTCGGGGAGTCTCATCCTACACCAGAGGAGCCGCAGGCCTGAGAGGTGTGTCAGAGCTCCTGGGTGTGGGGGTGGACTGTCCTGATAACTACACGGTGTTCCAGGAACCCTGCCAATGCTGTGCAGTCATTATCTCATTGAATTCTCATCGATCCTAAGAGAAAGGATTATTCTTCTCAGTTTATAATTGAGGAAGCGGAGGCTCAGAGAGGTTAAACATCACACAGCCAGTAAGTGGCAGGGCCAACGATTTCTGGGGTCTGCCTGATTCAAGTTGATCAGGGATTTGGGGCACTTGGTTTATTACCTACGAAAGATTTTCTTTGACAGGGAAGCTTTTGTAGTGTGTGTGTGTGTGTGTGTGTGTGTGTGTGTATTGGCTGCCAATAGTTGGGTGTAAGTGGAAGAATGTTTTCAATGGTATACACATAAGGGAGATCTACTGCATTTTTAGATTTATATTTAACATAATGTGTGTAAGATTTTTCTGCTTTTGATGGACAATCCTGAGAGGCAACAGTCTTTCCCAGTTTTCTAAACAGCTTTCCTGTATGTGGCCCAGTGGGCTTGCTGGGAAGACTCAGTACCAGGCCTTGTGCTATTTAATGGACTCACCTGTATGCCGCCCTTCCTCCTCCCTTCTGGAGAGGGCCTCTGAATGACTTGCCTCTTCCTTTTGCAAACCTACCTGGGAGGATTTTGGGCCCCAACCCCCTTTCCCCACCAGAATTGACAGGTTCCTGGGAGAGGTGGCTTGAAACAAATAGCTGCTGGTTAGGGCAACGTAGAATGACTTCCCTGCCTAAGACTTAGGGTGCACCAAGGGATGCTATGGGGTCTGGGGTGCAGGCCAGGAGCAGCCCCATTGCTGCCCAAGCCTGTGACCCTTGAGCTTAGAAAGCACAGCCCCGCAGGCCCCGTGGGCTCCTGCTCCCTTTTTGAATAGGGGTTCAGTGGGGCAGTCAGGACTCCATCTTGGCAGTCCCCCAGCTGCAGGTCTCAGGCTTGTTGCTGCCACTGTCTGCCATGGAGGCACTTGTCTACTGCCCTGTGGAGCAAGTGCTTGCAGATGGGTGCTGCTCAGGCGAGGGGCTCAGCGCCCTGGGAAAGGTGACACTCTGGCAAAGTCAGCACAAGCGGATCGATCGGGCCCGGAGTGTGTCTGACACAGGTAGGACCTTACCTGATGGTAGCTAGTGGCACCAAAGCCGACTGAAAACTTCATGGGGATAATGGCAAGTCCTTTCTTCTTCCAGTAATTCTTCTTATTAAATGCTTCCACTTGCTTTCTTCTGCTGCCAAGGGAAGACTTGTCCAGACATTCGTCCCAACATCGTATCAGGTTCTCGGGGCTGAAGGCTTGTTTGTAGATGGTTTTATCCACAGTTTTGTACATGTTTTTCTCCCTAACCTGACGTGGGAGGAAAATGGAATCGGTAGTTATGGCAAGTCGGAAACTGACTACAGCATATATTGAGGAAACGAGATTGAAATATAAAAAGCAGGCTGGGGTCTGATGGGGTATATGAAGAGCAGGAAGTGTTATCAACTCTGACCTCAACTGCCAGGAGCTGCCCCTGTCTGACTAGCATGTTGTATATACTGTGCACCTTCTAGGATATTGCACAAAATAATGTTTTCGGAGAGCATCCTTTTGGCGGTATCTCTCAAGAGTTTTCAAGTGCGCTCGCAATTTCACTTCTGTAAATTTACCCTCTACCTAGGAGGGCAAAGATATACCCCCGAGACATCTGCACCAAGATGTGTATAGCAACAGCATTTTAATAGCCAAAGATGGGCAACAAGCTGAACGTGCACCAGTAGTGGAATGGCTAAGCAAATGACGGCACATGCGTGTTACATAGCACTATTCAGTCTTGAAAAAGAAGGAAGTAGGTCATTCTATTGCCACAGGAAGATGGCCACGGCCTATTGTCAAGTAGAAAAAAGCAGAGTGCAGAATAATGTGTTTATTATGGCCCCATTTTGGTAAATCACTGTATATGTGCATGTATAAACACATGGCAATGATGATGTATGTATGTATGAATACAGATGGGTAGATACCCATAGAGAAAGGGCTAGGACAATAAATATGGAAATGCTGACCATGGTTACCCTTAACCAATAGGGATGGAGGGATAAAAAAGGGTACGTTCACTTTTTACTTTAATGACTTCAGTGGGGTTTAAAGGTTAAGAAGAGTAATTAATTATCTTTGCACAAGTTTTAAAAACAAGGAAAAAGAGAAATCTTTGTACAAGAAGGGTGGAAGATAAGAAGAGGGAGGTGAATTCTTTTAGGTAGCCCTGAATATATTTTGAATTTTGAGCCCGAGCTAATTTGAATGGTTCTAGGGTATTTCCCTAGGTAGCTGGTTCCCTCCTCATCTGATTCTTCAGCAACCTTGGCTGTGACCTTGATCAAAACCTTACCTTCTCTGGCAGAAGGCCACATTTGGCTGCCACAGCTGTGATGCAAGATTCTGTTACCAGGGTCCCTTGTGGGAAGCCATATCCACGAAAGGCCGTGTTGGATGGTAAGTTGGTCCTACAGGCACGGCCCCGGAACCTGAGGTTTCGGATTTTATATGCATTTTCCAGCTTTAGTACAAGGAATTCTGTTACCTAAAATAATAGAAGGTATTCACATATATTGGATAACATTTTCCTCTTTTCTCTAAAAGTCAAGAATACAGAGTCGAGCTGCTATGGGACTGGGTTAAGTACTTGAGGAAGCGCGTTCAGTAAAGACTCAGCTAGAAGTTCTGGGTTCTATTCACGACCAAGGTCACTGGTGAGTGATGCACGCACCTGCTCCGAGTCGTCCAGTGTGCACCCTCCGTTAATGAAGCACTCAATGTCTAGAGCTTTGATCCGCCCGTTGTTCATGAATCCCACCTGTCGGCAAATGATGGACATTTTACATGATTAATGTCCGTGCCACCTTGGAGCCACAGCCCAGCTCCACTGTTGGGCAGGACTGAAGGCAGACTCTGCTCGCGTTTGCTCTGTGGTGTCCCCGCCTGGCTATTCCCCTGGCTTTCAGCACTTGGCTGACAAAGGCCTCCTCTGACCTGAATTTTGCTGAGCCCCTTTCTTCCAACCTGCAATTTTCTGGCTTCACCGTCATCATGGAATTCTAAAGTTCCTGCTGATCTCCAGACATGTAATTGCTACCCTCTTCTTCCTTATTCTTGGAAGATTCTCCTTCAATTTTTTCTGGCATTCCTTCTAATTTAGCCCGTGGTTTCCGCCCCGTGGAAAAGTCTCTGGGATTTCAGAGTTCGATGGGATGAATGGCAGTGCATCTCGTCACAGGAAAGCGTCAGAAGCCAGGGCTGGAAATGGTCCCTGGTTGTGCTGAGCTGTGGAGCGCTTTGCAACTGGTTACGTAACAAACGTGAGCTCGTGCTGCTGTGCTTCCCGGGTGGGCCTCACAGAGGCACCTGGTGTTTTCCTGAAGTCACCACTCCCCTCCCACCACAGGACCAGTCTGTCTGTAGAGCCCAGATTGAAAAGAGAAATTCCCACGCCCTGCTGTAGTTCTACCAAAAAGACTGGCTCTGGTTGGTGTCTGTCTTCTGAAGACGGGGACAAAGACAAGTGATGAAACCGTACAACTATCTGGTTATTATCATCTACTCCAAGAGAAGTGTTGGATAATAAACCAGAGCAGTTAGGACATGTGGGAAAATTCGCCAATTCAGAATTTATGGCAATTTTGACAAAGGCTAGGCTGCAGCGTACCTTTAACTTTTCCTGAAGAAAGCTTTGCCAAGCAAAGATAGCAGAGAGAATTCTTCAGCTGTTTAAGATAAACTTTTGAAGAATTTTGGAAGAATCCCTCACACATAAGTATCTGCTCTACTAATTTACTAGTAGTTCCAAGTAAACAAGCAAACCTTTGTTATCTAAGTTTAAGGAGGATATATACATACATGTATATACATACACACATATTATTATATTGGAAGTACAATTATATTTCTTTAAAAATAAAATAAAATTTGGATTTTTAAAATAGTCTAATGATCTCCCTCTTTTATATTATGTTTTATATTATTATAAATGCGAAAATATTTGCTGTCTAAATCCTCTTAATAGGCACTAGTACTAAAAGTGTCTCACAACTAATAGAAATAAATTCTGATTTATAATCCAGGCCAAAACCAAAGGACGCAGCAACTACCATAATACTAATTGCCACAATCCCAGAATGTGTCTTTACATTGCTCTTGGTACTTGAAGATAATAATATCTGTATTAATTTCTGTGCATTTGAAGGCAAATACAAGGTTTAACTGCCAACTATGGTTTATTTCTCTCTAATTATATACGTTACTAATGCCAATGGAAGAGATAAAATTGTGAAAAGCCATTGTTTTAGTAATGACAAAAAAATATAACAATGTAGTAATCTCAGGCAATGACAAAATTAGATATGAAATTTAACTATATGTACGCTATGAGCAATTGCCAAATAAAGCATATTTGATAGGGAAATATTACATTAGAAATGTCCAAAGAACTCAAGCACAAATTTGAAAAGTAGTATTGATGTTAATAAGTATTTTTAATAGTGTTTATGCTACAGTTTCATAAAAATGCAATGAATGTGGTTTGAAACAATTTAAAATTATTTCACTTGTTAGTGAATTATTTTTTCCTATTTGCAAATCATTTTTATGACATTTTCATAACCACTTAGTGGAAACACTTGTAAAGTGAAGTTTAGTATAACAATGTTTGTAGCTTCTTTCAGGTTTTTGTCACTGAGGAAACATTAGCATTTTTAATCATGTATTTTTATTATTCAACTTCATAATTCTACACTAGATTTATTAAAAGTTCCTCACAAAGATGTTATGAGTATTCAAATATACAGCATCCTCACTTAATATTTTAGATGCTAAGATTATTGTTTTTAGAATTCAACAAAATCAAAACAATAGAAGAGAATACAACCATTCAAATAGAATGAGGTATTTTAATAATTTCATCTTTAATACTCACTTTATATTTTCCAAATAATGGGTGTCTTCCCCCAGTTATTAACATGTCATCTTCACGATCAAGAACAAGACGAACAGGGTGACCAGTTCTAAGGACAACAAATCTTCATCACAGTCTGCATCCACCCATCCATCCACCATCTACTCACCTAGTATCCATCCACCTATTTATCCATCCCCTCATTTAACTATCTACCCACCCATCCATCTATCTACCTTTCTACCCATCCATCCTCTACCTGCCCTCCAATCCATCTTATCCAATCATTCATTTAACCATCCATCCATTCCATATATATCCATTGAGTGCATACACTGTGTGAAGCATTGATCTAATGTACAACTAAATTACTATTGTCTCCGTGGTCTATAATTAAGATCTAGCTAAAGTGATTAATGTCACATGGCTGTTCACTTGTGTTGTTATGGCTTTAAATTTGATAATCATCCACATCCAGTCATTTTTGCATATCCCCACCTCTAGTAACAAAGGAGAAAGAGTGTGAACAGATAAATGCAAACTTAACAACACAACTGCAAGCAAAGACCAACACTTGTCTTAGGATGTGTCAGGATTTGGATCTTCCTTTTCTTTCTTTCTTTTTTAAAATATATCTTTATTGATTTCAGAGAGGAAGGAAGAGGGAAAGAGAGATAGAAACATCAATGATGAGAGAGAATCATTGATTGGCTGCCTCCTGTACATCCCCCCACTGGGGATAAAGCCCGCAACCCAGGCATGTGCCCTTGGCTGGAATCAAACCTGGGACCCTTCTATCCACTGAGCCAAACCAGGTAGGGCTGGATCTTCATTTTCACTGGGACTGCCCTGATGTTGGCCAAGTTGGGCCCCTGGGGAGCTAGGAGCTTCAGCCTTCCTGTATCTCAGGGGCAGAGGCTCCCAGACTTTGGAGTGCAGAAGAATCTTCTGGAGTGCTGGTGAAATGCAGATTTCTGAGCCTTAGCACTTTAGCAATAGGTTGGGGAGGGGCCCTAGAATCTGCATTTCCCTCAGCGATTTTGATGCAGTGTCTTTAGGTATACGTTGAAAACCATAATTCTAGTGTAGGGTTTCCTTGTCTTTTTTAATGGCGAGGACTACCTGGAGCATCAGTTAAATGTTCAGTTTCTGGGTTCATTTCCTGGTGATTTTGATTCTGTGGGTCTGGGATAGGGAGGCAGAAATTGCTATGAGCTGAGGAAAACCTTATTACCAGCAATTTGGGAGCACTCCTCTGGGGACCACTTAACACAAGGCAGGAATATGCTAAGGCAGGGTTGTTTAAGATAGTGTTTCCCACACTTGGCAGTAGAACCACTGGGAAGGCTTTCAAAAAATATTTTTATTGATGAGAGAGAGAGAGAGAGAGAGAGAGAGAGAGAGAGAGAGAGAGACTGACACACACACACACACACAGAGAGAGAGAGAGAGAGAGAGAGAGAGAGAGAGAGAGAGAGAAAGAGAGACTGAGACACACACACACAGAGAGAGAGAGAGAGGGAGAGAAAGAGAGACTGAGACACACACAGAGAGAGAGAGAGAGAGAGAGAGAGAGAGAGAGAGAGAGAAAGAGAGACTGAGACACACACACACACACACACACAGAGAGAGAGAGAGAGAGAGAGAGAGAGAGAGAGAGAGATACATCAATGGCTTGCCTCCCATATGCACCCTGACCTATGGGATTAAACCTGTAACCTGAGTATGTGCCGTGACCAGGAATTGAACCCACAACCTTTTGGTGTATGGGACAATGCTGCAACCAACTGAACCACCTGGCCAGGGAGGAAAGTTTAAAAAAAAATAATGGTTGGGTCAGTATGGGGCATCCTAGGCAATTGGATTTAAATATTCCCAAGATGAGTCTAATGTGCAATTATGCCTGAGAAGCCTTAAAGGCACAAAGCCTGGTGGGAATACAACAAATTGATTCTCCCTTGCTGAGTCCCTGGTGGATGTGAATAGAGAGAGGTTCATTATGAAAAGAACTGGAGGTGAGATTCAGATCCTGTTTTTTCCTACCTCTCATCACGGAAGGAGACACATACTGAGTGTCTTGGTTCCTAGCTCTGAACTATACAGAAGCTGCTAAAGGACATTTACAGGCTGATTGGAGCTCTGACAAAGTACAAAAAAGAAAAAAGAAAAAAAGAACAAGGACTAGAAAAGCCAACACCATGCACAGCATGAACAGCGAGCCTTCCATTGAGGTGAGCCCGGGAGCTCTCTTTGAGGATGTCACCTGTCCACTGAACACACACTGAAAAGCCAGCTCTCCCCTCCCCAGGTGCAGGGAGGAGGCAAAGGGTGGGGTCTTTCCTCCCTCACCCCGCCTGTCTGCAGCTGAGAGTAGGAAGGAAAAGCGAGGGAGCATTCTCCCACTTGGCACTCTACTTGGGTAGTTACTTGCCCCACCCCTAAATGGGTCACCTCTGAAGCTCAGGGTCAGGACAACCCTGGCCCTGGAGGTGTTCAACTAGTAATACCACTTTTCCTTTTGATAGGAAACTAGCATAGTCAAAGTTCTATCTACATATGACTTTTCTAATACCTCCAGGAGGGTGGGCATTATGTCTGCAATTAAAAGGAAAAAGAGATAGGAGGCTGAGTTGCCCAAGGGTGGCAGGTGGATATGACAGCAGCCCAAGTGCCTCTCAGGCCACTGATCGGCCCTCAGCTCTGACATTTTACACCCTTCTGTACCCCCAAGTGCACTTACTTGATGGCACCCACAGCTGCAATAGCTCCGAACACAGCTGATTTTCCCACTTTCCCGCCAAAACCTCCACCCACTCGTTTCACATGACAGGTGATCCTGTTGCCTGGGATGTTTAAAGTAGAAGACACTGTTTTCTGTAAAAGTTAGATATTGGGAAAGTTTTACAAGAATGAAATGGCAAGGAGGACTTTGATTTCCTGAAACACAACATCACTGCAAAGTCCATCCACATCTACTGTGTAAAAAAAAAAAAAAAAAAAGACTGACAGTCTGAATGTGTCTTGTGTAGCCCCATTGAGGTCATAAATATGGGTCATTGCCACAGAACACAGCCTTTCCAGTAGAAAAATGGCATTTTCCGGAAGGAAAACTGTCAGAAGAAACCGTCCCGGGTTCCTGTCAGAAGCTGAACTCCGAGACAAATGCCTTAACTCCGTGGTCGGCAAACTGCGGCTCGTGAGCCACATGCAGCTCTTTGGCCCCTTGAATGTGGCTCTTCCACAAAATACCACGTGCGGGCGCACATACAGTGCGATTGAAACTTCGTGGCCCATGTGCAGAAGTCGGTTTTCGGCCTGGGCGAATCTATTTTGAAGAAGTACTGTTGATATTTGGCTCTGTTGACTAATGAGTTTGCCGACCACTGCCTTAACTCAATGTCCCAACAAGGTGAGAAACAGCAAACTCTAGACAACCTCCTGAACAAGAAGAAGTATTTGCAGCTAAAACTTGCTGAGTACTTTATGGCTGGGGAAATGAAAATGTGCTATAAAGTGAAGGGTTTACTCCACAGGTTAACTGTAATAATTACCTTAGAGAAAAATCAAGTATAGCTATAACTTAGTGTTGTCATCCAATCACAAAATTCATTTAAGCATACTGCCACTGAATGTCTTCTCTAAATCTAAATAATACAATGAATGACTTCACAAGACCAGGAAAAAAAGGGGTTCTGGGGCCTTAGCTCTCCATTGCTGTCCAATGCTTGTATTCTAAGTAAATGCCTGCCAACTCTGAGGCAGAGGGGGGTGAGGCCATGATAGACTTAGGAAGTTGCAGAGGTGGGGGCGGTCCTGGCCCTCACCTGCACGTGGGCTGGATCCTGTGTTGACACATAGATGTCCAGTTCGTTGTCCTCTGTCTTTGGAATAACAAGCACTCTTTGTGTTTCCATGTAAAAGTGTTCCTGTCCTCCAACATGGACCTCTCCTGTTAGGTGCAAGCACAGGGAAATTCCTGAAGGTGCAGGCTGGTTGGAAATGGTCATGTTGGGGAATTCAAAAGCAAGCAAGATGTGGTGGACTGGCCAGCCTGGATTTGTCCTGACCGAGGAACTGATGGGTCAGGCATTTGTCCTGTGTCAACTGAGAGCAATCTTTCAGAGATTACAGTTCTGGATAACAAGTAGAACGTGTCTGGTTCCATTCCTCACTCTGCCCTTGACGCATCAAAATCTTAGGAGTTTTTCTTCTATTTATTCTGCTGCTCCCTACCTTCCACCCTCAAAACCAACACACACACACACACACACACACACACACACACACACACACACACTATTTGGAAAGAAGAGATCTAAGAGAAATTTGGCAAAGCACCAAGAGGAAATCACAGGCTGTCACTGTCTGCTTCAGAGTAGAATTCCCCAAAGATCCCATCAAATATCCTGAGTCTCTTACCTTCAACAATTTGATCGACTTTTTCAAATGCTTCCTCAATGTTTCCTTGTTCAAGTTTCTTCTCAGGGCACAGGAATGAGTTGTGTTTTATGGCATCCTAAGTGACAGGAGAAAAACACAAAGCCAATTCTTTGTAAGTTTCTTCCACTGGCAGTGTTTTTCTTAATAAAAAGCCCGTAAACTTCCCAAATTGCCATCTGCTAGGACACATCAAAGGAGTCCTGCAAGCAGGGAAGTACTAGAGCAGTGGACGTGCTTCAGAGATGGGATGTTGGAGAGATTGTCTTCTAGATTGCAGAGGAAACCAATAAGGGTTAGAGAAACGTTAAGAATTGAGATCTGGAGGCACTTTGATGGTCCAGGATGATCACTACTCATTTCTCAATTTTTAATGTGATATCCAGGGAACAGGTGATAGGCCTACATGCAGTATGGGTGAGGTTCTGGGCCTTCCCTTTTTACCTTTTCCATGAAGAAAAACACTGGTGTAAGACTTAGGTAGCTCATGTACAAGAACCTCTAACTCAGAGATCTGAAAGAACAGGCCGTGTTGAGGGAGAAGACTCAAGTCTTAATGCATTTCTGGGTAAGAAAGCCCAATAGATGTTGTAGGAAGTTTTTTCATTTCTTTGAGATTTGACATATCTCACAGGGCTTCTCTAGTTCTTTGTTTTCTTTCTGATAATAACATGAACGAACTCACACAAGAAGACTGGGAGCCATTCTGAGGTTCTGTCAGACCCAAGGTCGTTTTCCATACTTCAGAAGGCACCTGTCTTCTGCATTCTTACTCTCCTAAAGCTTTAAAGCTATTGCCTTTTTTGCTAAGGGTGATATTAAGATATTTACAAAAGTACTTTTAATCTGTAACCTTACGGGAGAGACCAGTCAGCTTACCTCGATGGTGACGATTACGGGCTCCAGATCTTCATAGGTGATCTTTATCTCTTCAATTGCACGCTTCGCCTGTACATCTGTCTCTGCAGCCACAGCACAGATGATTTGACCCACACAAAGTACCTGTGGAAGGTACATGCATGAAGCAGGTAGAAAATTCTGGGTAGGAGTAGGTTTAAGCTCAACTTTACCAGTGGCATCTTAGTTGTCATCATTGAGAAATAATAACCACTTTGAAGTCACATTCAACTGTATGTGCTTGGTTAACACATTAAAATTTTTTTGAATTAAAAAATAATTTAAATAATACAGATGTTTCCATTGGCCATTTTACTCAATGCATATAAGCTCCAGAGTGAATGTGAAATTGGCTGTGACCTGAATCTGCTCTGTCCTGTCAAGTTAGGGTCATATGTATCGCCTTTGTGGTGTCATTTTAGAGTTTAAAGATAAGGACAGTATTTTTTTGTAGAACATGGCACTCCACCCCCATTCATGTGTTGAAGCCCTAACCCCTCAGTATGAGTGTATGGGAGATAGGGCCTTTAAAGAGATAATGAAGGTTAAATGAGGTCATAAGGGTGGAGCTCTAAACCAATAGGACTGATGTCCTTACAAGAAGAGGAGGAGAAGCCAGGGAGGCTCATGCACAACAAAAGGCCATGTGAGGATGCTGGGAGATGACCATCACAAGCCAGGAAGAGAGCCTCAGGGGAAACCTGCCGACACCATGAACATGGACTTTCAGCCTCCAGAACTGTGAGAAAATAAATTTCTGTTTTTTGAAGCCACTCAGTCTATAGTATTTTGTATGTCAGCCCTAATAGATAATACAGGTCCTCAGTGACAGCCAACTTCATCTGGAGTTCAGCCAAAAGAACAGTGATTCATGCCAAGGCTGCAGGAGACACAGTCTGTGTGGGATTCACTGAGATGTGGCAATAACAGCTAACACTGAGATCCTTCACGTGCCAAGCACTGTTGTAAGCACTTCACATGTATTAACTCATGATGTAAATTTCACAGCAACACCGTGAGGCAGGGGCTATGACTATTCTCATCTTACAGCTGATGCCACCCAAGGACACACAGCCAGTGAGAGGTAGAGCTGGGACATGAACCAAGGTAGTCTGGCTCCAGACACAAGAGCCCAGTGAATGATTGTTGAATTGGTTAAAGGTCAAAGATGGCAAGAGCAACTTTTTAAAAACTGGAGTGTGTGAGGTAAGTAGAAGGTGGAGGGGGTGGGGTTGATCCAGGAAAGGAGGGAGTTCAGTGTAAATAACAGGGAGTGGCTGTGTTTTTTGTACTCTCCTTTCTACATTTTTCTATTCTATCCTGACACAGGTCAGTTCCTGCATTTTCCAGAAGAGGATAAATTGACTCAAGAGCACGCGGGGGGGGTGGGGGGGGGACTAGGAGTTATTTTTCCATAATGACTTTATTTTACTTTTTATTATGTTATTTCCTGACTCCAGAAGTGTAGGTCTGTCTCAATAAAGATGTTAGGGGTAGAAAGAAGCTGGGAGAACTGGCACCTCTACCCCCATTGGCAGAGAGGGCAGGGAGGCCATGGGAAGGTGGCTTGGAGAGGGTGCCTTGGTGATTATCTACACAACTCATGGAAAGGCATATTCTGTACCTCATCTACAGCCAACAATTTCTCATCTTCAGTACCATTGGTGCCTGGAATGTCTTCAGCTGTTATCACATCAACTACCCCGGGCAATTCAAGGGCCTTGGACAAATCAATTGATCTGAAAAAAAGGAAATATTTAAGAGATAGAAATCAGCAAGCTTTGAGGGTCCCAAACCTGAAGGAGGGATAGAGCATGGTTGGAAATAAAAATATAGAACAATTGGTCCAGCTTAGGCCCTGGTCAGGACGCCCCCTGCTGGGCTGGGGGTAACATTTTCGCTGCTGGGAGGGGAGCTGTCAGATGGGCCAGTGTGCCTGTTGCAAGGGGCCTCCTTAGGAAGCGTAGGATATGCCATTTACCATTCAGTAATGTAGTATTTCAGTATTTTATCACCAGTTGAATATCAGCTATACTTATTTATTTGAGCCCTGCCTGGGGCTGCAGCAGGGAGATGGGGCACTGTGAGGTTAGAATGGAATCAAGAAACCCATAGCTATAATTTTTGTCTTTTCCATGTGGTCATTTCCAGATACTCCCCCTGCCTCATCTGGGGGCTGGTGACCTTTCCTTTTTCTTTTTTTGTGTGTGATCTTTACTTTACTCTTTCTATTTTAGGTCCTTTGGGTTTAGGACATTGCAGAAGAATTGGCACATTTCTCCGAGGAAATCCTCTGCTCTTGGCTCTTCTGGGAGAGCAGTAAAATGGGAAGGCTCTGTGTGTGTCACTAAAACTCATCATGTGTGTTTAAAAGGCTTTTTGAAAGCTTTTCACTTACATAATTTTTGCATGGGCTCTGGTACTGGTCACCAAGGCCATGAAAAGTTCCTTTTCCACCCTGGGGATGTCATCACAAAACATGGCTTCACCTGTGGCATGTTTGAGACCTGATAGGTGCATGATGGGACGTCCCACTGGATCTTGGAGGGGTTGGCGAGAGTCCACACTCTACGGAGGAAGACAAGAGATGCCCTGGAAAAGCTCAACCTTCAGAAGTGGCCTGGACAATTCTCAACTCGCCTGAATCAGGATTGAGAACACACAGTCACCCTTGGGCCACAAACCCTGGCGTGGGTCCGATAGAGAGCATGACAACGTAATGATGTAACTACACTGGGAAACGGTCATTTCAGTTATGTGGCAATACCTTTGACAGGGCCAACTTTTTGGCAAAATTGTGAAACAGGTGAAGGGGCACCCCCGTTTCTCATTTTGGCATCTTCTTTTTCTAAGCAGTACCCCTGTACCCCTTTCTTCTGGAATTCAGGGGTCTGTCTCCCTGTCCTGCTTTCTGACTTTCCCAGTAATCAACCTGTTCACATGTAAAGGGATCATGATGATGAAGGCTAAAGTGATGTAATTCCTGAGGGTGAGGGACCAAAATCTATGCCCAAAGCAGGACCTCTGGTGGGGGAGAGGGTAGCAAATGGCCGTGGGGCCCACCCAGATCCAGACTAAGTGCCTTGGCTGCCACCAAGGGGCGTAGAAACATCCCTGGGCGTGTAAGGCAATGGAGCAAATGTTCGCTCTGGAACTCTTCTCCAGGAAGAGCCGTGTGTGGTGTGTGGAGACGGGGTTGGGGGAGGGGTTGTGCTCTAGATAATTGTAGACATTTTCCAAGTTGTCCTGCGAGGAGGGAGGGTTCAGTTACTTGCAGGGCTCTTGTTTTGCAATCAGGGCCGGAGGCTGAACCTTGCTCCTCTCCTGTGCTGTCCTTCCCCCACACCAGGCTCAGCGGCTCTTCAAACCAATGCCCAAAGGACGTCATTGGACAGTGTGAAGAGATCGTCAGTTATGAGATGGTCAAACTGTCCCGGGTCGGTTCAGCCCCAGACAAACCAATTGATCTGCATTGATTTGGTGGCTCAGGCCTGAGCTCAGATCCAGCCTCTCCCTGACTCGGCCTAAACAAAGGGCCAGTGTGCAGCAAAAACACAGCGTCAGGACTAAAATCGCCACTCTGAACGGCTTGCTTGTTCGCACGGCTACAGCTTATCTCTTGGTGTCTAAGTTTCTGTTAAATTAAACTCACTGACCTGGTACTTCTGGACTCCCTGGGGCACTGTGACCGAGAAATCTTCCAGCGCACTAAGGAAGGGGTCTGAGACGTCAGGATATTGAAGGCCGTCCTGGGTGAAGATTCAAAACAATCCCCATAAACTGATTAGTCCGTGTTTAAGCTGGGCTTTGGTTTATGCAAACATGACTTGGCTACAGTACCCACAAAACTGCACGGTCTTGTAGGGAGGTAACCCAAATCCCCATCGCCTCCAGGATTTTAGTTTTGATGAAAGCTTTTTGCCCTCCCTCTCTTTCCTTGTAAGGAGGAACTGGACTGACTGGTTTGAAGCTGATCATCAGGCCACCCTGAGAAGGAAGAGAGGCCTGTCGGTGAGCTGGCCTGCAGAGGGAGAAGCAGGAAAACGGGCTACGTAAGCCATCCAGAAGGAGCTGGAGTTCACTGTACACAGGAGAGCCCATAGCCTATTGCTTTTCTCAGCTACTCGGCTTTCTGGGAGAGAAGTAAAACGGGAGGTCCTCTGTGTGTCACTAAACTCATCAAGTATCTTAATTCAGAAATTAAATTCCTGGGGAATGTGGCTCGTGAGGGTCTGAGTAAATGATAATCGGACACTTTAGGAACGCTGAGCTGCTGGGGTGGAGTTGGGGGTAGGGGGTATAAGGTAGGCAGAGCGTTGTGATCATAGACAGGAGAGGAGAGAGGGAGGAAGGGAGGGAGGGAGAGAATGTTTTGTTTTGCTTAATTACTCCAGAAATTTACAATCAGAAAATCTAGCAAGAAGTTACTTCAATATTATAGCATGTAAATAAATTTTAGTATTTTAGAAAAATAAAATTTTATTTTACACTCCATATTGGAGTTGGAATTTGGCTGCCTGAGGGCAGGGGTGGGAGGGTTGACAGTAAGGGGACAAAAGGGCACATTTTGGGGAAATGGAAATGCCCTATATCTTGCTTGAGGTGGTGGCTCCGTGGGTTTACACATTGGGTCAAAACGCACTGTATTTAAACAGGTGCATTTCATTACCTGTGATTATACTTTCCAAAGTGATATTGAAAGAAAAATAATCGCACACAGAGGCAGGGCACCATAACCGTTCACTGCGCAGGCACTCGGTCAGCATCTGTGGCTTGAAGGCAGCCTGCGGTCCAGAGCCCCAGGGATTCTGGGAGCGGGATGCCTGGGGACTGACTG